ACATTTGTACTGATGAAGAGTACCGGATGGTACTTGAAACGTTTACACATTAAACTTTCAATTATCCAGTTAGAAAAGACTAATCGGCTTTATCAATTTATTGTTGAAAGATGTTAGTAAATTGTTTGGGGATACATTGTTCCTGTCAAGGTTACTAGTTCCTGCCCGAAGACTACTTGCAAATAGCAAGGACAAAAGATCAAAACAGAGTACAAAGACTTAGTATAACATCTACACATGTACAATGTACGTGATAAGGTAATTGTTTGGAACTATGTGTGAAGCTATATCTGAGGGGTTTGATTTTGGTCAATATTATGTGTCCTGGAAATACTACAATTTCCATGTACATGTATGCTGTTTTTATCATTGGACAATGACTGTTAACATCAGTGCACCTTTATTCATTGTGTACAATGTCATAAATTCCCTTTAAAGGGTATTGTCAGAGAGAGATGTGCCTTATTGTTACCTGAGTAATAATATTTGCAAATTCATGCCCAAGGGCTAATTACAAACTGATAAGGGCAATGAGTACAGAATGTATTGAAGAGTGGTATAAAACCATGTGCTATGAAAAAGGTCTACATAATTATATAGGGTTCTATTAGTAATACCCAGAATTGCAAACTTGAGAGATTGAAGAGTTCAGAACACTGTAAAAAGCTTTGATAAAGAGTTTCAACCCTTTTGGACCATTGATGTGAAACAGAAAGAAATGATGGTTTACTGTAGTAAAAGGTTGAACTTTATTCCAACACACAATTTACAGAGATCAAATTTTCAGCGACCACTCTCGCGAGATCACGTTGTGAAGTGATAGGTCATTAATTATCCTGATGAAGGCGACAGTGGTCACTGAAAATTTGATCTCTGTAAATTGTGTGTTGGAATAAAGTTCAACCTTTTACTACAGATGAACTTTCATGATAATATGATGGTTGTCAGATTGGCGTTTTCAATTACCAAAAATGCACCAAATAAAGATGAACATCTAATTATCAAACAAGAACATTTACTGAAGTCTGGTTTGTTGATAATGACGTACCCTGAGATTGTGGCTCATCTTGACACAGTAGTCAGTGATGTCCCATACAGATATGTAGCCCATGGTGTCACCAGTAACAAGTACATTATTGTCTGGGCTTGTGGCCAGGCCCAACACTGACTCATCTTCTGTGTCAGGTGCATAGAAATAACCTGGAACATGGAACACATTGTTTACATCTGATTCTGTGCTTTTTAGATCTATCAAATGAGAATGTAATAAATACACTGATGGCTTCTTTGCATTTGACATTCAATAATTATTATTGGTATATGTATGTGTCTTGTACATGAACATGTTTTGTATTTAAATTCATGGACTTCAAAATGTATCTCTGTAACTGTATCTCTGTCTTGTCTTGTTTGTGTGTTGAAGATGTTCAGCACCAAGGACAGGGCTAGCTTTGTACATGTACATATCAAATATATTTATGATACAATGATATTATAAATGATATCTACAGTGTAAGAACAGCTTCATAATGACTTCTACTATGGGATTGTACGGCGTAATGGTTGGGTGTACATGTTTGGCCAAGAACACACCAACATGCCCCAATGTTATGCCCTTGGGAAAGGCACTTGACACAACTTTTCCAAAATGAGTACCTGTTTAGCTCTGGTAAGGGATGTCCCTCAGATAGGACATTAAATGGAGGTCTCATGTTTGAGAAGAGCCACACCCCACACACATTAAGGAACCCACCACACCTTTTGAAAAAGAGAAGGGGCCCTGGTGTGTGATGGTCTAAATACTGTATGTATCTGGTGATTCACTACGGACTCCAGGAAAAATAGACTAATTCACACTTAAAAAATGGAAATCCTAACAAAGAAACAAACAACAAACAGACAAACTAACCCATGTGGTGCTTGGTGCCATAGATGCACCACCAGTTGATGGTTCCAGCCTCACTACTGATGAGAATACCACAGTCTGACGGCCGCCCTGCTGCCCGCTTGGATAGGAACAGCAGCTGGTCTACAGGGGTGGGGCTGAAACACAGAGGAGTGAGTAGTACTTTGATAGGAACAGTAGCTGGTCTACAGGGGTGGGGCTGAAACACAGAGGAGTGAGTAGTACTTTGATAGGAACAGTAGCTGGTCTACAGGGGTGGGGCTGAAACACAGAGGAGTGAGTAGTACTTTGATAGGAACAGCAGCTGGTCTACAGGGGTGGGTCTGAAACACAGAGGAGTGAGTAGTACTTTAAATTGATAGGAACAGCAGCTGTCTACAGGGGTGGGTCTAAAACACAGAGGAGTGAGTAGTACTTGGATAGGAACAGCAGCTGCTGGTCTACAGGGGTGGGCCTGAAACACAGAGGAGTGAGTAGTACTTTGGTAGGAACAGCAGCTGGTCTACAGGGGTGGAGCTGAAACATAGAGGAGTGAGTAGTACTTAAATTGATAGAAATAGCAGTTGTTATCATGGTCCAGGTATGACATAGAAACAAACATTAGATGCTCAAAACTTGACTGAACATCTCCCATTTTAGCCTGGGTTAAGCCTGGATTTTTGCTCTGCAACGCTCGAAAAAATCATGATTTTTTCGAGCGTTGCGGAGCGAAAATCCAGATGGTACCCATGCAGGCTACTCCCATTTGCCATGACGGACAGCTGTGCTCACCCTCTGCTGTGTCTGAATCGTCTGCGTCGTTTCTCCCTGGGCTGCTGTTCCTGACTGTCCTGGGAGGAGAGACTGTCTGCAGATGCAGGGACTCTTCTACTGCTGCAGGGAAACAGTTTGAACCATTCTTTAGTCATGAGAAGCACAAATCAGCCTGCAGGCCACTTTTTAAAGTCCTAATAAAGGTATACACATATTCTTTACACAATCATATATTTGTACATGGTCCAAAAAATCATACATAAGAGTGAGGGATGGTACATGGTTTGTGTCTGTTTGTTACGGAACCTAACATTGTAGGCTTTAATCCTACCAGTAAGTTCATTTTGGTCATTTCAGATTTTGGGGCCATTTATGAGTCTCGTGGTAGACTGTTCCAGACAGTGGGTCCACCATAGCCTATGGTTTTCTATGTACAATGTATTGTGCTTTGATTGAAAATCTAGATGCATTTCGGGATCAACAACTTGAAGATACTTGCTGTAGTCTGGTGCTAACTCCATCTTATTAGCAGTAATGACTGAAGCTTACAATCTAATTGTATGCACCAGGCCAGCTCTAAAATTGAAGCCACTATTTGTTGAAATACAACTTTGTTCACAGCATCTCCCATGAAACAAGATAATGAACAGATGTGTCATTATGAAGCAAGTTACACTGTAATTTCCAACAAAAGAAAGTGTCCTCTCCCAAATGTTTGACTGTACAACTCTGGTCTTTGTCAAGGAATGAGCAATTTTGAGACAAGAGTTGTACAGACGAAAATTTGGGTGTTGGAATTACTGGTTTAACTTGCTTTATAATGACTTACATGTATACCAACATACATGTAGAATGAACTTTTAAAGGCATCCAGTGCAGTTTTTAGGGCTTGGAAACCCACTTTTTTAAAGCCAATATTCTAGTCATTTATCTACATACTGTCCCAATGTATATTGACCCTCATGGAGCAAAATTCCCAAAATTCTGACGGAAAATGGTTACTGGAAGGGCCCTGGGCTGACTTTTAGGGTATCACCCCACTCACCCAGAAAATAGAGGACTCATCTTAGGGCTTGTTTCTGCAGTTTTAAGTACCCAAAGTATGAAATACTGATTGAAATGTGCTAATGTAGAGCAGTATAAGTCTATCATAAAGATTGCCTTATTCAGAATATTTCTAGTTTTGCTGCTCTGAAATCGCATAGGATGCCTTTAAGATAATGATATGAGGTTTGTGGATTCTCACTTTCTGCTGTGATGTCCCCTCCTCAGCCTGAGGAAGATTTTCTGTGTCTCCATACTCCAGACGATGAGGTCACCATCGAAGCTGGCAGTGGCGAGTAGATTGGGCGGACAGTGTGCCACGGACAGGATGTCATCTTTATGTGCCTGCCCTCCCTTCCAACTGGTGTTGGCTGTCACGTACATGTTCTAATGGTACAAGGAATGAGTTAAAACACCTCCAACAGATGAGATATCATTTAAAAATCTCATTTAGTGTGCAAATAAAGGCTTCAATATGACAAAAAAACAGTTACTCAAGCAACTGGATATTTTTTTTGGAAACAGTCGTTATATCCACTAATCCTTTCGTCTGTGACACTGGAGGAATTTCAAATCAGCAGGTTTATAAGCAAGAACTATTGATTGATATGCAAATAAGTGAAGACAAATTTTTGAAAGTCCAAAAGGAAACAGAAGCTAGAAGTCAAGACAAGGTTGATACAAATTAGTCAAATAGCTCCTGTGTTCCAGAAACTTACATCTGCCTCACTGTCATCATACAGAACAATTTTCCTGCTCCACCCAACTGACAGGATGACCTTGGGACTGTCCAGTGGGATGACCCCTGTGACCTCTGCCTCTCCAACACCCTCCAACTTGTGCAGGTTGTGGCCATTTTGAAAGTTCCAGATCTGAAAAGGGAAATAATAACAACCATGTTCAGCACCATGGACAGAGCAGCTCTGGCCAGCATCTGGCTTCCTGTCATTTGAAGGAATTTTGCTGCTCTTGACAGACAAAAATTAGCGTGTAAAGATAAAATCAAACTAAGCTTAGTCTACCAGCAAAAAATGCAGAAAAACATTGTTTCAGAGGATCAAGATTTCAAAATTTTCCTGGGGGAGCAAGACACTGCCTCCATTGTTGGGCATGATGTTTAATACAGCAAACAAAATTGAGATGATGGAAAATAAAAAGACTGGCTAGAATACTGATGAAATGTGCATCTATGAGCAGCTAGTGTTGCAGAACCTATTGTCTATGGGAAATTGTAACAAGTCATGAGATTGTATTTTATTCTAGAGAATTCACAATCAATGTTTTCAGGTTAATTGCGCACAGTCATTATGGTAGAGTTCAGAGACAGTCTTAAGCCTGTTAAGTAAGTCGGCTGAAGTTTGGGAGCAGTCTGACCAGATTTAGACCATGCCTACCTACCCTTCTATATGAATCAAATCAAATTTGATTTAAATTTGAGTCAAATTTCACAGCCAACCAACCAACTTTCAAGTACCAGCCAAACACCAGCCAGCCGTTGTCGAACCTCCCATCAACACCGGAACATTCAAACATTTTTAAACAGCAACTAGCCTGCCCGAACACCAATCTTGCTCCTAACCATGGTTGTTGGGAGTTTGGCAGTGTTTGGGAGGCTGTATTTGGCTATTCTTTCTTTCTTCTTTCTTTATTGGCAATGACAACAGGTCAAGACACGGGTTATCAAGGCAGTGTTAACTGGTATTAGATAACCCACATAAACTGTATACGAACGTGGGGACAAACATGTAGTAAGAAATCTACAGTAACTATAAATACAAGACCTGAAATAAAGATAACATGTTAACTGGTTACAAGGTACAATACTATAATACATAATATAAGAAAATCAAGACTAGCATTCCTAACTAGCAGCAATATGTGCAAAGAGTGTAGATACTAAATTGGGATGAATGGAAGGCTTTGGGTAAAAGTTAAATATGAGTGCAAGTTTAAAAGAAGAATCATGACAAAAGGTGGTTTCTGCAGTGAGCCCTGAATTGACTGAGAGTGGGGGAGTCGGTGATGTGTCTGGGTAGACTGTTCCAGAGCCGGGATGTGTAGGGGATGAAACTGTTAATGGCTATGTGTGACAGGAGCTTATTCTAAAGCTCACCTTGATTGTTCCATCTCTAGCTCCAGTGATGAGTCTTCTCAGGGAGGTGTCAAAGGTCATACATGTGATCTCCTCATCCCCATGTGCGTTAGTGAACATGAGGGACTTGTTTCCTGTCTCAATGTCCCACACTGCCACAGTCGAGTCATCACTACCTGTCACCACCTGTGGGTCACATCACTCATGATCATCTGTCATACTTTCCTTACAGTAGGCCACATCAATTTAATTTCTTGGTAAACGGATTTTTCCGCAAAAATAATGGAGCAGGCAGGCGAAAAAAAATAATTATAATAAAAACAGGCCTAGGCATCCTCTTATGGCCCAAAATGGTACAATAAGAGCCATGAAGTCAACACACCAGGCTGGTTTTTTTTGCAAATCAGAAAAAAATGAAGCGGGCGAATACGTTAACCAAGAATTGAAATTAAATTGGTGTGGCCTTACAGAGCACATCAGCAGAACATACTGCACCTGTGCAAAAGTGGTAATATATTGTGCATAGCACTTTGACAGAATGTCTCATACAAGGTCGTATTCGTGCCTATAAGGTTAACATCCTGTCAACAGCTTACAAATGTTGTGTTACAAAAGATATCGTCTGCAGCAGGCAAAATTCTGGTGGAATAGTGGATATTATATTAATCAATTTAAAACTGTCAGACACTTTGCAAACTATAAAACTATTCAATTTGCTACAGTATGTAAACTCTGTAAAAGTCAGGACAATTTGAAATGTGTACTGAGAAAATTCAATACAACTTCTAAACTTTTTGGAGGAGTATATTTTGTAGTGGATCTTGGAATTTGCCAAATATACTGATATCAGCTATTACAGCAACTGTTCAACAAATCTATTTCAGTTAATCCATTCAAAATATTGTAATTTACAAATGTACATAATCAACTTTAATGTGTTAACAGATCAAAATTTCAGAGCAGGAGAAAAGCTTTCAAACCTGTCAGAGACAAGTTCCTTTCCAACTTTACAGGGCTTACAGCGGGAGCTCCACCAAAGTAACAAAGTACTATACACAGTTTACATGTACATGCCCGTAGGCAGGATTTTGAATTGGGGGGTTCTTTCTACTGCTGGAGGGTACAACATTCATAAACTTTACATAAAAAGTGGACCAAAAAGTGGAACCCCCCCTGGCTACTGGCATGATGTAGTAGTCAAACATAGCTGATTTGATTTCCTCAACTTGGTAACAAAAAGAAAGTTTAGAAAGACAGAAACTAACCTGATGGTAATGTGGGTTATAGATGGCCGTGCAGAGTGGAGCATTGTGGGTAGTTGGTAAAGGACTCTTGACTTTCTTCACACCAAGCTTTAGTTGACCTGAACAGAAAAACATGCCTTAAGTTTTAAACAACATTCATAAAGTTTTAATTTCAAAGCTTTAAACAAAACCTATAGATGTACAAAGGCTGGGTACAACACACTGTCAGGTTTTTTGTGTAATATAGCCAGTTTCAAAAAGGTTGGCTGAAGTTTGGGAGCAGTCTGACCAGATTCAGGCCTAACTTTCAATACAAATCAAAACAAGTTTGACTTAAATTCGACTGAAACTGAAGACTGCTGACTTACTCCCAAAAGGTTGGATGGTGTTCTGCTGACTTACAGCCAAACACCAGACAACCATGGCTGAACCTCCTGACCAACCCACAAATGTTTGAAACATTTTGAAACATTCGACTGGCACAGCCAAATAGTAGCCGACCTTGCCAAACAAAGTAAAGTAAGTAAAGCAAGTAAATTTTATGGATGACATCCTCCGCTGACTCCAAGTCTAATGCGAGCGGGTGGAAAAAAACAAGACGGGCCGAAAAAACAAGGTTCCTACACTTTAAAATTTTGATTTAAACATTGTAATCATTGGTTTTTATTCAGTGGGAACATCGCATATACGCAGCCAACATCACATATCACTGCATCAAAGTAAGAAACAAAACATTAAATCAGAGAGTTGTCTTGTCTCCTCTCTTCATAGTTATCTGTCATCCACCTTCCGGCATGGCAACAGACATTTTTGCCCATTTTTGGCATGTTGACCACTATCAGGCAAAAACCCAATCAGGCGAAAATTAATGCGCGCGCTGTTGTCATCCATAAAAAGTACTTGCTGTGGCCTAACCATGGTTGGGGGAGTTTGGCAAGTATTCAGGAGGCCATACTTGTTCATGTGTGACAGGAGCTTAACAGTCTGTACCATACCTATATAGTCCTGACATGTGACCAGAAGTGTGTTCTTGCTGAGCACCAGACAGAGTGGGAAGGCTCCGTACTCTGGGACACGCCCATTCACCAGGCAGGGGAACTTCAGGACAACAGTCTGCAGACACGAGTGGTCCTTCACATCCCACACTTTCAACATCTGTCAATCATAATCAAAACCATTCAAATCACTCAACCAATTAGCATTAAGACATTATGACAGTAACTTGTAAGTCATGATCTAACAAAAAGAAATACAGTTTAAGGCCACACCAATTTTATTTGTTGGTTGCCCTGTCCATTTTTTCTGATTTGCAAAAAAAAAATAATTTTTTTGTTTGTTCTAGATTAACTGCAAAATGCTCAATGAAAGACAAATTTTGGCCCCAAGGGTTGAAAAATGTCCTTTTCTTCCTAGTTCTTCAGTTTTCCAATGTAACATTACTAACAATGCAATTTTGTTTCATTAAAAGTTCAAAATCTATTGTTTTAATTATAAACCAGCCTGGTATGTTGACTTTATGGCTCATATTGTAACATTTTCAGCTATGATGGGGTGCATTGCCCTGTTTTTGTTTTTTTTGTTTTGTTTTTTGCCCTGTCGCTCCTGATTTTTTCTGAAAAAATCCGAGAAGCAACAAATTAAATTGGTGTGGCCTTGTCAGAAGAAATATGACAGTGACAGAATGAAATCTAAACAGACCTTGGCATCTTATGATAGCCCAAAATGCTATAATAGGAGCCATGAAGGCCACATACATGTACAGGCTGGTTTGTAATTCAAACAATGAATTTCAGACTTTTAATCAAACCACTGCAATGATAGATGGAAAAACTGTACCAACTCTGAAGAGAAGGGACTTCCTTCAACTGTTGGGGCCAAAATACAAGCATTTTAGAGTTGATTCAGAGGCTGAAATGTTATTTGTGAACCAACAAGTAAAACTGGTGTGGCCTAAACACTTTATCCTAACTCTAGCTAACAGACTCACAGCATCCTTGGAGTAACTGAAGACTTGGTTCATGGGTTCAAACAGCTTGACATCGATGATGGTGGTGTGATGCCCGCTCAGAACAGTGATGGGTTTACTGGTGACGTAGGGGTTCCACAGGCGAACTCTGTGGTCAGAGCTGCCTGTCACGATGATGTTCATCTGTTTATTGTAGTCAAAACACTCCACACCCTGGAAATGGTAGCACACACATTTGTAACATGTCTTGTATACTGAATTTGCACTAAAACATTGGTGTGTTTGGGGCATTTCAAACATGGTAACCATTTGCTACTATTTTTTTGGCACCATACTGTTTTCTGTCAGCAACACTGCATTTTTGCCTCACAGATATAAGTATGCTACATGTAGGGGATAGGGTTGATTCAACTTACTACATGTATATGTACATAAAAGATTGACCAGAAAGTTGACTTTGAAAATGCAGTTTTGTCACGGTGACCCTGAAATTGCATTGGATACATTTAAGTAGCACGTCGGCAGAACGTACTGCACTTGCGCGAAACCTGTAATGTATTGTGTATAGCAGTTGGGCAGAATGTCTCATATAAGGTCGTATCCACGTATATAAGGTTAACATTACGTCTGTAGTTTTCAAATGTTATGTCTGAAAAAATGTTGTCTGCAACAGGCAAAAATCTGATGCAACGTTGACCAAAAATCCAAAGAAAACCGTGAAAAAATTGGGGTTTTGCGCACTAGGTGCAGTACATTTTGCCAACGTGCTCATTTAAGTCCTAATCCTTGCTTGTGTAAATACCATAACTTGGACAATCCTTGCCTTGGAAACCTTGAAAACATACGTCTTCTTCTTGCGTGAAATGTCCATCATCACAACAGAGCTGACATGGCTGCCACTGGAGGACAGCACCACGTTGTTGTGGGGACAGTACAGGATCTGTCTGATACCCTCAGGGTGGATGCTGTCCAGGACAACTAGCTGGACATATTTGGAGTGTTGGGGTAATTCCTGAAAGAAGAAAGGTTTATTATTATTAGTACATCAATTTGTGTCTGTATGTAAGTGTGTGAGTATAATATGTGACTGTCTCCCTTCAGATACGTTTCATCCAGAAGACATCTACCAGACTGAGTACAAGCTCACTGACTGACTGACTGACTGACTGACTGACTCACTCACTCACGCACTGACTCACTCACTCACTCACTCTTTCTCTCTCTCTCTCTTTCTCTCTCTCTCCTACAGGAAAATATATCCATATGTCCTTACAAACCACCAGTACTGAAAATGTGACTGCCAGCTACTGTACAGTTCAGTTACTGACAGTCTTATTTCAGTCAAGCACGAATGTAATCATTATGCAACTGACATGTCTAGCTTCCTAGGAATTATTCTGACTGATCTCTTACTGATGGTAACTGTCTTCAAGTTGACAGTACTGACATGCTACTGGCTGTTACTGAAATGCTACTGTAAGATAAGGCAAATTTCACCCTGAGTATATGTATTACTCACAGGAAGGTAGATTTTCTGGACTCCTTCGTCGTGTGAGAAAGGCCTCTCAAACTGTCCTGACTGTGGTGTTTTGAAGTACAGCAGATTTATACACCCACTCTCATCTCCATACAGAAGACAGGCTTTATTGTTGGGGTTCTGTGTGAAAAGAGAGAGCAAAATTTAACAAATCTCATCACTTCTGAGCTCTTCCAAACTTCTAAAATTGACCCAGAGGCAAGGTTCATGACTGTATTATGTAAAAACTTTGAAAGAGAACCAAAGTATGAAATAACTGAAAAGTTACCTTTGGATCATAATGGTAGTCAAAACATGTGGGAACATCTGTTAACCCTGGGGAAACAAACAAATCATTTCTTTTTTATGTCTGTTGGAATGTCATTTTATCAGAACTCTTAAAACTTTAATGGTAAAGTTAAATGTAAACTTTGTTCCAACACAAAAATAGAACTCACGAGGGAAAGTGAGTGAAATGAATTTTCGGTTGAAAATCAGCGCAATGGATCATTCATCTGAGGAAAGTGATGTGTTTGACCAAAAATTCATGGTGAGTTCTTTCTTGTGTTGGAACAACGTTTAAAACTTAAAACTGTCTGACCAAAGCACAGAGTAGAACAGAAATAGCAACTTGAAAATAAAATAAACTACGGTGGAATCTGATGTGTCCTTGACAATAAATGATGCACAAATTAGTCAAGTCGTAATTGAAAGATTATCAATGATACATACAATAATTTTCCTACTTACCGTATAAGTGGAACTCTTCAAAATATGAACTGGTAGAAATGTCGAAGAAATGGAGGTCTCGACTTGTTGTTGCTATGACGATTTTGTTCATGTTTGGGAGGTAGATGGCGTCGGTAACCCACGCTTTGAACTGCCGCTTCCCATTCCTGCCTTCATCCCCTTCTCCTGGTAACTCGTATGTTCTTAACAAGCGAACAGACGTGTCCCAAATCCCTATCACACCCTCCTGCAAAGATTAAGATAGTGTTAAGATATTGGAGTTCTAATCAAAAAATGCTGACATAATTACCACAAATGCAGTACGCAATATAGTATCATAGGTGCATTGTACAACATAAAAAAAATTGTGACTGGGGCTTTAGTAGATTTCTTCTTTTTTTTCAATATGATTGAAGTTTTACCCATGGGTACTGACATAATTATCATGACAATTGATTTATTGATTTATAAAATTCAACTGATGAATGATTGAATTATACAGAGCCAACCAAGGGAGGTTGCAAACTTTCATCCAGTCATATGCATAATTATTCATGAGTCATCAGATGAGAGTGACACTATATTTCATTATCTACAATGATCTACCAACACAAAATACACTGAACACATATTACCTAAAAAGTATATGCATCAAAAACATGTCTTGCATGTAGCCATTAGCAGATTTCATAAAAATCCTAGTATGCTAATCTTGATGGGAAAATGACTTACCTTACTAAAGCTGACATATCTACTAGGATTCTCAATATAGATGAGTTTGGTGGTGGGCTCTTGCTGTAAGAAAGAATTGAAAAAATTTAGAAACAACTCATGAGCCCAATACGTAGTAATTACATGACTTTGTAGATAATAGATGTAAGTAAAAGGTATTTGGTCAGTAACAACCATTGCACATCTAAGAACATTGCATTGCACTGCCTTGACTGGCCCTCAAGTTTTTTTACAATAATTCAGACTGGACAGTTTACAGTAAATTAATCATTCAATTGATAATCTGCACAGCCACCACTCAAGTTTGAAAGGTTACGTATTGGGAACACAAAAGTCAAATGTGTGCCTCCTGGTGGCTGTCCTTGGTACTGCAGCAAAACTTCCAGTATTTTATCTTTTGTCCTGGACATGTTTAAGTTTTGGTCTTTAATAGCATATAGCTTTTTATGTGAGGAAAAAGTAGCATCTTGGTTTGGGTTTAGCCTGGGTACCATCCGGATTTTCGCTACACAATGCTCATGATTTTTTCGAGCGTTGCGTAGCGAAAATCCAGATGATTTTTCCTAGCGTTGCGTAGCGAAAATCCGGATGGTACCCAGGCTAGTTTGGGTTGGCAATTTGGTTGCAAGAAAGGAACAATGGATTTTTATGATTATATATTAGGTACCTTAGACAGAGATGTACACAATTAGATGCAAATGAAGCGGCCTTATTTGAATAAATAAACTATAATTCCTGTGTTGGAACACAAATTTATTATGTAAGGTTCTACAATGTTGTATGCAGTTCAAATCTGACCAGAGTTCAAGTTTGAATTTCTGAATACTAAACCCCAAACAATTGTGGAATTTAAGGTTATAAGTCTACCTTGTTAAAGACACAATGCTTGATGTGAGCCAGGGATCTGAATGGAATGTCCCGCTTGGTGCGCATGTAGTCATTTTCCCGATACTGCAGCAGCATGTAGGTACAGAACTCATTCCAGTCTATCAGCCCATCACAGCTGGTGTCCATCTGGGGAAACATTATCATGAACATGGTTATCAAGATATTACAGTATAGCCCCTGCCACACATTCAGAACCTTCCACCGACCACCAACCAAGGCTGGCTGAAGTTTGGGAGCAGTCTGACCAGATTTAGGCCACATTTCTATACAAATCAAATTGACTTTGAGTTAAATTCTAGTCAAATTTGAGTCAAACTTGATACTCGAACACTACTGACCTACTCCTGAACACCAGCCAACCACTAGCCAACCATGGCCAAACCTACGGTCCACACCCGATGAGAATGTTTTGAACATTTTGAAAAATTCAGCTGGTGCAGCCAAACAGTAGCCAACCTCACCGAACGCCAGCCAACACAGTTGACCTATTCCTAACCATGGTTGTTGGGAGTTTGGCAGTGTTTGGGAGACCATACATGTATGTGGCTATGTGAGGCTAAGCCTACTATAAACAATGTCACAAGTTACCAGTCCTGATACAAACACAGAAACCCATATGAGTGCACATGCGTGCACATAATAGAAACATCTAGACGTACATCCACACACATAACTAGGAACAGGTGATCAAATATATCATGATCATATGCATATTATTATCCGATTATTCTTCAAAATCATATTCAATGGTAGTGTAGCAGAAAAGGTCAAAAAAGGTCAGAATTGTTTCCTCACCACAATCCACAGAAAAAAAGGATGTTCTTTCCCAAAAACTTTTTAATTGGTCTTCATACCTTTTTGAAGAGAGCATCTATCTGGTCGTTCCATGAGCGTGTTCCCAGAGTGGAGGAGACGGCTTCTTTAAACTCATCCAGAGTCATGTTACCAGCCTCTCTCTTCAACTGCATCAAACAGGCTTTGTTATTACATCCAGGAAAAATGGTAAATGTTTTTGTTAATTAACTTTAAATTTATGTATGTCTGTGTTTCCACCTTTTGTGTATGTGTTTCCACCTTTTAAAAAACTTATTAAGACCTCACAATCAATGGATTGTGATTTTATTTGGTATGTGGGTAGGTCTTGGGAAGACAAAGGACAACAACACTGGCTTTCCTTGGTTGTGCAACAGAACTTCTGGTTTTGTATCTTTTGTCCTGCACACGCTATTGTCTTGATAACTTGGTGTCAGACACCTTTTCATGTCAGGGAAAAAGTAATGCAGGTTTGCAGTCTTATATTACAAACTTTAGATGTTGATAATCTTAAGAGCATAATGCTGACATTGTAATTTAAATATCAATGTTTGTAACTTACAGCTGCATACAGCCCAACCATGTGAACAGGCCATACTGTTAATTTATTACTATATTTAGTAGGTTCAGGCACCAGACAGACCTGCCACAACCCTGGCATTCTGCCAATGTTTGCTGTCAAGGCAACTGCACCATGGTTCGTAATTCAATGGCTTTACCCCCAGCCGTTGCCCAGAACAATTAAGAACCGTGCTGGTCACGAGTGTCAACAAAGATAAACTTGTTTTCCAGTCTATTAACTCTGTTCTCTCCATTGTTCTGAAACCTGGCAGTGTTTCAGAGGCTGACAGCCTCTCCTGAGAGTTCAGGGTCTCACTTAAAACATTAGCCAGGGGAAATCTTTGGTCTGGTCAAAGAAGTGCTCTTCTTCTTTTGTACTGCTTATCCCAACTGCTGGGATTATGAGCATTTTGCGCACGTGTTAGTAACAAGTGTCCGGAACATGTAAACATTGGGGAAAAAAAGGATAATGTGGAAGAGAACACAAATAACTGAGTTTGTGTGTGCAAAGGACAGGACAAATGAGTTTAGTGTGTAATATTTAGTAAACAATACATGCATACTGTGTAAAGGACATGACCGGGTGCCTCAATGCAGCAGGGTCCTCATTTCAAACTTCTTCTTTAATATTTCAACAACTTCCCTCGACTAGAAAACATTTGAAATATTTTTGGAGGTTGTGTATAATATTTCAAATGATTTCTAAAACATCATTATATCATTAAAAACAATTTTTTTTTAGCTGTGACAAAGTAATTTGCACATCCCTACTAAGTTGTCAGTGATCCATACATAATTTTCTGTGGTACAGTAAGTCTGGATGAAGCCTTACCTTGGTGCTCCCATGATGCTCAGCGGGCCGGTGCATCTGGAACTTCTCCATCAGCTGCTGCAGGTGCTGCAGGTTGATGTAATCCTCCAGCCGCATGGACGCATCTCGGTCAAAACTATATAGTCAAGCAAGAAAGGTAAAAAAAACAACAACTCAGAAACTAGAAACTTAAGGTAACATTTGCGAGGCAAATGCATAATGTTTACCTTCACATACACGTGGTCTGTTCTGTTAATTCTTACTCAAACACTGTGTATTCATATATCATGGTCAGACAGGAGTCTAAATCCCTCCTGCAATAAAATTGCAACATGATGTAACCCAACACTAGTTACATGTATTATGGCAACAGACACGACATTGGTTCAGGTTAGAGGTCACTGTTTGGAGAAGAAGAAGAGGAAGAAGAAACTGAGCAAAAACAATGTTTTCCTTCAGTAAACATAATGACCAATACAAATTGGATGCAAACCATATACCAGCTCACACAGCACTTAGTATGTAATACTCTGTGTATTTTGTATTATGTTAATACATGTAAAAATATGTGTATGGATTTATTACCAATTTAAATTATGTAAACTGTATTGAGACATTTGAGACATGATGGTGTCTTCATTCAATAATTCCCAACCAAATTTGCCTGGGTGTATGTGATTGATCTGAGTTATCTTGATCCATCTGGCCTCTGGTATAGGTGATTGTTGTTATGCTGCTAACAGTTGACTTTAGTGTCCCCCAGTATCCTTATGCACTTAGGACTAACTAATCAATCACTGAATAGTTAGGGTTGTTAACTCGTCTAGGGCATGGGTTTGGAAGGTGGAACCCATCCCTCTCCTTCCACTGCCTTTTATCTCCCCAACTGAAGTCAGGTATCCATTTTACACCTCGGTGGAGTGAGATTGAGTGAGTGAGTGAGTGAGTCAGGAGTAAGAAAAGGCATTTAAAGTGCCTTTCCCAAGCTAAGGGCACACGACTGGTGACATGACAGGATTCGAAACAAGAACCTCTATGTTCTGGGCAAAACACCCTGCCGTTACGCCAGATTACTCCACACTTGACTTGAAAAATGAGCACATGGATGTATCTAGCTGCAGTTAGGGCCGTCCTCTCTAATGGGACATAAACGTTGACGTCCTACATGTATGTTTAAGGAAAGGCACACCATGAACAGCGTCATTAAAGAACCCATCACACTTAAACCTGCTACGTTACACCAACAAAGAGTTACTGTTACTGTAGTTTACTGGTGATGCACAACATTTATACCCGACACTGTAATACTCTTTGTCAATACACAAGGAAATCAGCTTATTTAAGACTTGATTCACTGTGTAGCAGTGATAGATATTTTTTGACTGAAAATTATGACATCAAATATCTTAATTGCTTCATTATCAGTTATCCTTCTTGATATTCCCTGGGTAAGAATAACATCTCTTATCATAATTCTTTTGGCAGAGAGAAAACAGTATGTTAAGATAATGGCAAAATATGCCATAAACTAAGCATACTATCTACCTGTCTGTAGTGAGCAAAATTTGACCCTCAAAATTCTAAAATTTTCCGAGGACCTAGGTCTAGGATTGTCACACCTCTGGTGAAATATCTAGTGCCTTCAGCACTCAACATCATGATGTTACATCATATAAAATTGAGATGACAGAAAAAATTTTGGGCAGTCTGCGTAGTACACCAAGAACACCTGATGCACTGTCCTGACAAAGTTCAATGCAGTAACTTTATAAATTAATTTACTGACCTGTGACAGTTACTGTCACAGTTACTGATCTGTAACATTTATGTCATAATGAAATGCAGAATGGTGCACTCAATAACCAGCCAGATGCAGATATCTTAAAATGAGTATTTCATAATCAAGCTTCCACCACTAAGCATTTTAGATTAGAATAGGCAAGAAAAAACTACATACTTTCTGTCACCCCAGGCTTCTTGGAGGAAAAACATGCCATCTTCCATCCTCATTGCAGCAAAATCACAGAGACTAGACAACGTGGCCGCCAGAACAAGTCCAGTTCAACTAATAATGTTTCTGTTACCAGTCAGCACTGGTAAATTTTACACCAGATCCAGTCTGGAGTCCCAGTAATTCTGATTTGAACAGCAAGGCCTATAAATCCGAAACATTTCGTTTCCAGGTAACATAGAAAACCCGTCGCATGTAAATTTATGTCCTAAATACCTCCTACAATTGCTTTCAGCAATGTACACATTGTCCAGTGTTTGTTGTGTCACTACACCTGGCACTGTGATGTCAAAAATGCTTGGGCCAATAAGACTGTTGGGAAGACATCATGTGACTTGGAAATGATTAACCAACGTGCTAGGGAAACGTACGTCAAGCCCCAGCACAAGGGAACGCCAGTATCAATAGAAGGATGACATTACAAATATTTGTCACGTTTTCTTGGGGGGTGCCGGTCACATCAAATGAGGTCTGGTTGTGGCCAGCATCCCCAAAGAACAAATATTTGTCATCAGGTTCTTATCTTATATAATTACCCTGCCCTATTTGATATCATTCGCCTATCAGAATAATAATGCAACTGATATCATGACTGTGTTATTGTATGGATGGTTGAGTAACTAATTTGTTATAATTAAATTCATATAGCTTTACATGTACTACTTAGTACTAGATGTTTAACTGTTTTGTAAACAACAGATGAAGTGATGACATGTATACGATAGATTTAGTGATAGCATAGATTTATAATAACTGTTTTGTCTCTCCCCTGTTCACTATCAATACTACAGGTAATGTCTTTAATGCAGTGAGTGAGAGATTGTTCTAGCCAGTGTCCATCTTTCAAATCATATGATGGAATCTTGCAGCCCATGATGGACAAACATTTTGTCCAATCTGTCAGACAAAAATTGGTGTCACTGAGTGATAAGGATAAGGAAAGAGATGCTATTAAATTAAGTTTAACTAAGCTTAGTCTACCAGGAACATTTACCCCTCAAAATGCAGAAAATAGCATTTCAGATGGTCAAGTTTTCAAACTATTCCCAGCGGAACATGCCCCTGGACCCCCTAACCCCCTAGACATGATGTTAGATCGAACAAGTTGCGATGACGGAAAAAAATTTCAGACTGACATGTTATACTGAGCTTTCTCTCAAACATTTTTCTCCCTGAATTCTTTCTCTTGCTATTTCAGTTATGAACATGGATTCAACTTTTTTGGGGCCAAATTTGGCATGGTGGTGGAGTGAGCAAATAAACATTTTGTTGACATAGGGCTTCCAAATCCCTTTCAACCAGGGAGGAACTTTGACAAATAATCTACACCCAGTCCGGAATGGTGCAATGATTGAAAAGTCTTGTTCCTAAATGAGTATCTTTTTCACAATCTGTGTGCAGGAAATGTCCCTTCTGTGATGTTTCTCTTTTTAACTTGGTGTAGACTAAGTCATTACAGAAAGAAATAATACTGCATCAATTTTGGTTTGAAGAATTTAAGTCCTTCTAAAGCGGTAAGTGTACTAGTACATGTACATGTATATGCCGATGTTGCTGTGATTTCCAGTGACAGGTGGCTGATAGTGAAAGGTGGCTGATTTGTACAGGTGGCTGATTGGTACAGGTGGCTGACTGTTACAGGTGGCTGATTGTTACAGATGGCTGATTATAACAGGTGGCTGATTGTTACAGGTGGCTGGTTATAACAGGTGGCTGATTGTTACAGGTGGCTGATTGCTACAGGTGGCTGATATTACAGGTGGCTGATTGATACAGGTGGCTGACTGTAACAGGTGGTTGATTGTTACAGATGGCTGATATTACAGGTGGCTGATTGTTACAGGTGGGTGATTGTTACAGATGGCTGATATTACAGGTGGCTGATTGCTACGGGTGGCTGATTGTAACAGGTGGTTGATTGTTACAGATGGCTGATATTACAGGTGGCTGATTGCTACAGGTGGCTGATTGTAACAGGTGGCTGAATGTTACAGGTGGGTGATTGTAACAGGAAACCGTTAACTCTGAAACACTATTTCCTGCATTTTTGAGGGACCAAATTTGCTGCTAGACTAAGCCTAGCTTAATAACATCTTTTTCCGTATCTTTACATGCTGATTTTCATCAGTCAAAGATGATTAAATTTACAACAATTTTCATGTGCAGAAAAATTCTGTCAAACCACAGAAAGACAGATGCTGGCTAGAACACTTCAGACCACTGTACAAGGGAGCAGGTTTGGTCCTTGCCTCAAGAGAGATGTTAAAACTGCCTGGAGGCTGGTACATGCTCTGCTTTACAACATTTGTCATAAAAACTGTGCAGGCCATTAACACTGCTTGCTACAACATCATTGATATGATTATGTCAATATATAATGTTGACATAATCATATCAATATGTTATGTTATGTTATGTTATGTTATGTTATGTTATGTTATGTTATGTTATGTTATGTTATGTTATGTTATGTTATGTTATGTTATGTTATGTTATGTTATGTTATGTTATGTTATGTTATGTTATGTTATGTTATGTTATTCAGTGACACTATGCCGGGTCTACAGGTAGAAATGTGCATGAAATGGTTGTCTTTCACTTGTTTGAGTTGTTTACATGAAGTACGTTTGAACTGTGTCATTTTTTTGTATCTCTATCTGATAATCATGATTGTACAACCACCATACAGATCACTGCCTCTGGTCACAAATCTAGATTCCCTCTCTCACAGACAAAACATTGCATGAACTTGCCTCCCTGTCCCTCTTCTACAGATACTTTCATGGGTGCTGTTCTCTCACTACTCCCATGGGAACTTTTCAGTGTACCACTAAGCTCTCCTCCAGATCACATCATTACACTGTTCAAATTCCTGTTTTTTTGTTTATTAAGATTTCCAGAATAGCATCTGTGAGGAGTCTGTAGCAGGATCATTTTTTCCTTTACAAGGCTGTCTTCTCAATAGTGCAGATAAAAACATATATCAAGGCAGTCAAATAATTACTAACAAATAACAACTTTTAAGTTTTAAAAAACTGATCCTAGAAGAAATCACAATAATAACAGAATAACAAAATATTTCAAAGTCCTTCGACAGCAACAGTTTTTCCCGACTGCAAAATTATATATAGAACTCCCTCCCGGACACATGCTTCTGTCTAGAATACAATCCACATAAAACCTTTAAAACCGCCATTTTCTGGTAGAGTCACATATATGTCATCTGTCTAGCATAGAGCCTAAGAAGTGGTCAATTGGCTTTGCACTGAGCAATACCAAAAAAAATGTGTACTTTTCTCCCTTGAATTGAAACACCATGCAGTAGCCTGATGGAATATAAAAGTATTGGTTTTTACCTTGTCTCACTTCTTTCCGAGCTCTTCTCTGCTTCCTCCATTTTGTTTGTGTGGTTAGAGTCTGTGAGTCGTGAGTACATGAGCACCAACCACACTTCAGCCCACTAGATCAGCGACAAGGGTTCTTACACCACGGCTGAAGAGGCAGCTGGCTGCTGGACTGAATGGACTCCCAGTCGTCCAGACCTTCTGCTGTTACTCTCACAACAATCCCGGTAATTAAGGGTGACGTGTACACATCAATCCAACTTAGAGGGAAAAACTCTCAAAAAAGCACCTTCATGCTAAAAAACCTGATTGAAAGCTGTTCTGTTGGAATGTACTACCTGCTGTAAGGTATAACACTCCTGCATGTAAAGTACACACCAGTAACAGACAATACACACACTAGGGGAGGACTTGACATTACAGGCACAGGTCCTGGGAATAAGTCAGGTGCACTCACGGGGCTTACAGTGCAAATGTTGCAAATTCTACAGGGGTCTCTGACTGGCCAATGGCAGGCTAGGAAGATAATTGAATTAGCTACAAAGATTTAGTGCTTTCAGAATGGTGTAACATATTGTAACATGATATTCAGACTGTACCAAGAGAATGTGGGTAGGTAGGAGGATAATAAACCTATAAATATTTTACACCTTACTAAGGAGAATACAAAATGCAGTTATTAAAGCCTGAATAGGTCCTTTTGAACTTATAAATGTTCATGCATGAAAGGGCCGTCCTATTTTCAACAATGAATTAGTCGTAAGAATTAAGCTACAGTTTCCACAACTACAAAGGATAACAGAAACATTATCTGAATAGGCCATATTAATTATTTAGGTTTTACATTGTGAAGATTATTGCTTTGGGAATCTAGATAATGAAGAACTACTGAATAGATATTTTGAACTCTCTAAAGGTATAATAATGTACTGCCTTAATTCACAACCAACTCAGTCTATCATGTATGTTACATTTCAGAATTCAAATTAGCAAGGAACACTAAAATCATTCTTGCAACTTTACTCAAAGACATGTGAGCAACTTTAAAACCTACCAACACTCCATGCTTGCCACCAAGAAATGACGGTAAACTTTGCCAAGTCACTGGAACAATCTGAACTGTATACGTAGACTGAGACATTTCCTACCACCCTTTATAATGAGAGGAAAGTGGCAGAAAGACCCTCATCCCACAAACTCAACAGTGTTCACTGTGTAACAGTGGGGGGTTTATAGGCGCTACCAACTGACCCGGCCGAGGGGTCTAGACCTTTTCGGCCGAGTGGTTAGAAGAGTCTGAAGCTGGTGCTCGGGAAGTCGTGGGTTCGAACCCCAGCCTGGGACCAGAGGTCTTTATCTGTTTCTACTGGCTCCTCCTGTTTCTTACAGTGGTTCCCACACCGGCCCTGGGAGTTCTGGCAAAGAGTGCCGCTCCAGGGATGTCGAATTCGGAAGATTTGAGGACGAATCTTGAAAAGAAAAGGGGGAGTAGTGTAACAGTGGGGGGTTTATACTATAGGTGCTACCAACTGACCCGGCCGATGGGTCTAGACCTTTTAGCCGAGTATTTAGAGCATCAGAGTCTGAAGCTGGTGCTCGGGAGGTCATGGGTTCAAACCCTAGCCCGGGACCACGGGTCTTTATATGTTTCTACTTGCTCCTCCTGTTTCTTACAACTGTAGAACCGAGAGCTATCATTCACGTCCAATACCACATGATACAGTTGCTGAACTTGTGATAACACTTGATTTATTATATACTTAGACCCATATGGTATATGGTAATTGTTGATGTTTGAAAATCCACTCTGTTCGTAATATTTTTTAGTAATTTCAATATATCAAAAGTTTTATACAGAAATTACTTGAAATCGTTAAGGCCTTGTGAATGCTATATGATACTGTAAGTAATGTTTTTTAATTTAGTTGACGTCTAAACCCATGTCCAACATATTTGTTACTTAAGGTTATAATGTTTATTATGAACTGTTGTCTCTAAAGTACCATGGTAACTCCACGCAATTCAGCCTTCGGCTGCCAAAAGGGAATTCATCAAACTGGGAACTGCTGTCAAGGAATTTGAAATTGAATAGACCAGTAAATCATTATCATTTAATTTATAACTGCATATGGTGCAGTCACCATGCAGACCCCATTTTGTGAAAAAGCAGAGAGGATGATCAAGAGCTCTATGCTTGCAGGTCCAGTAATTTTCAGCAACTTGTCTTTGAAATGGCAAATATTATCACAGATGCAATATGACAATGTTGGGGACTGAAAAATTAATATGCATGTTTTGGGCCTATGCGGGATTGTCTGGCCCAATGTGATGTTTATGAAGATATCCACAACTGTTTATTCTCTGATCAGTATACTCTACAGATATTAATTAACTTCGGAATCCTTTCCCACTTTCCCCACACGTTTACAAATGGTTTCAACTCATTCCTTGTGCAAAAGTCATGTAAATCATGTTTAAATGCACTTCATAGGTCCTGGGTTCAAATCTGCCTACTAGTACATGTCCCAATGGTGTGCCCTTGGGGAAGGCACTTTACACGACTTTCCTCACTAGTAACTTCACTTGGGCACTTAACGCGACTCTTCTCACTTCACTTTACACGACTTCCCTCACTTCACTTGAGGAATCGTGATGTTTGGCTGCATCACTTGGAAACCTACCGGATCCGCGTTCGAATCCAACAACATGTCCGATGTTGTGTCTTTGGAGAAGGCACTTTACACGACTTTCCTCACTTCACTCAGGTGAAAATGAGAACATGATGTACCTACCCTTTGTTACGGACGTCCCTCAGAGAGGAAGTTAAACGGAGGTACCGTATTTGGGGAGAGCCACACCCCACGTGCAAGTTAAAGAACCCACCACACCTTTCAAAAAAGAGTAGTGGTATGTCCCGGAGCGCGATGGTCCAAATACTACTGTCTGGTGATTCACTACAGACTCCAGGAAGTATAGTGTGAAATTTACACTAATGGAAATCCTTATCAATGAAACAAACAAACAAACAAACAAACCTTTGAACATTAGCAGTAGAGCTGAAGCTTTTTTTCCTCTGTAGACGTGAGGATGAAGGAACATCGCTGGACACGGTTCCCTGCAGAACAAAATGTGAAATAAACAAAATCACTTCTGGGCCTAACTTACTTTAATTTTCACAACTATTATATAATTATGAATAAATAGTAGTAGTAGTAGTAGTAGTAGTAGGTCATCATCAACATCCCCATCAAAATTCCCCATCTTGACCACCGTGAGTTCAAGTGCCTAAAAATGCACTTCAAGTTAAGCTACAGTATCCGCCAATCAAACATCTTGTTTGTTACAAATGTATACCTTGTTCTGTGTTTCTATGATTGGTGATCCCTTAGTAGCTTTTTAATTACCATACTTAAAAGTAGACTTCATGTACATATTTGTGTCTGTCTGTCTGTCAACAGGATAACTCAAGAAATCCATATACGTTTGTCTTGATATTTGGTATGTGGGTAGGTCTTGACAACTGACATGCAAGCTCAAATCAGCTAAGGGTTGGGAGCAATCTTAGACTCTGTCTTGTCTAATTCTTTCCTGATGACTTTGTCCCAACCATTTCACAAGTAATGCCTCAGTTGGTAAGGAGTCAGGAGGGATTTGTATAAGGGTCTGGAATGAGTCATGGGTTGGGAAACACTCACTGTCCAGACAACGCCATGACAACCTCACAACCAGTTCCCAACAGCTTCACAACCCCTTCCAGATGACCCAACCTTTTCCACAATTCCCTGACAACTCCGAACTTTTAGAAAGAATTTGACAAAGTTGGCTCAGCGAAGAAGCGCATCCAAACTAGTATCCAACCTCGAAGTCATGGACCAATTCACTGACACAGATCACAGATGACTTGAAAGCCAGGGGCTTGATTCCCTTGAAGGAGGCACTTACCCTAAACCCCACTCTCTTCCTCAAAATAGCCCAAGACGGGACGGCTCCACTGGACGGGGTAGAAGACCCTGTTTTGGACGGGTTAGACAGTGGACTCGGGGAGCGGTCCAAACGGACAGGCATAGGCATGGTGAGACACTAGTGCTACAGACATAGACCATCTCTGTTCACCAGGCAACAAAACACAAGGCACTGTTAGCTCTGCAGCCGTTATGCCTCATTTAGCGTGTGGGGATGTCTTTGCATGGCCTAAACTAAACATAACATAGCATAGCCTGTATCTGAATGGACACAAAAAAGTGGTTCATTGACAAAGACTGGAGTTGTACATTCGAAAATTTGTCCCAACCAAGGAGCTTAAAAATTAGTGTACTAAGTTTACCAAAAGTCATATAGATGACCTTTCAAGGTAGACATCATTTGGTGAAGGTATGAGATCATGAAACTCTAGTTTTATGCCATGTCAATCATATTCTTTGATTTAATTTATTTCCTCTTTTACTTTTTTAGGTGTCTTGTTCCAGTTCAGGGAATGCTTTTGACAACATAGAAATCCTGATGAAATGCATAAAAATGTCCAAAACAAGAATTCAAAGACCTCATAGTATCACCTAAGTCTATGAAACATGCACCTTTTTTTTATCCTTCTCATTAATTGATTGTGGAAATAGATTTGTAAATCTATTTCAATCTTCAGGTTTTCTTAACTAGAATTACTTCTATTTTATAGAAGAACTTTATTGCACGACAATATATGTGATAGTCTGTCCTTCGGCTAACTTGAAGAACATGCACGACCTACACAACATCTCACAACATACCAGACCACATGATCCCACACACCTATTGTGTTCAGTCATGTCAGGTAGAACTAAATCAACCTCCCATCACCACCAGCCATGTTTGCTCAGTGGTGCCTAAACAGCGTTACTGCTGTGGTTGGGTTAGTATAAACACTGCCAGCCAAGTGTTTCTCCTCTTTGTGACAGGTGTAACATGGAAGTAGCTAGTGTGCTGCTTGTTACCTTTTCCTTGTTATTGAATATGGAGCATTTCTGCCATTGAAACAAGCATATCAGTTTAACTTCTGCAGGGGTCGAAATAGATTTTGGGGCCAACTTGCACTGGTGCAGATGAAAAAAAAAATACTTGCACCATAAGAAAAATAGTTGCACCCCCCCCCCAAAAAAAACTAATAGGTGCACAACCAAAAGTACATGTACATGTAGCGTTAGTAACTTTAATAGCATGCAATATTTGCTTACACTGCTAACCTACTAAAGCGACGTAGATAGTAAGCTTCTATTAATTACAAAAAATGAAGAAAAACTTCATGGATTCTGGTTTTGTTGAATTTTGCTCCCTTCAGTTCTTTATTGAGTATTTCTACAGGTTGTAACTGCGGATAAAGCAAACTTGCACTGGTGCATACAAAAAATTAGTTGCAGGACACCAAATTTACTTGCACCAAGTTGCACACAGAGGGGTATTTCGACCACTGATTTAAGGCATCCAATGCAATTTTGGTAGGCAGCAATACAGAAAATATTCGGATTCCAAAATCTGTCTGATATTGACATTTACTGCCATTTCTTAGTACATTTTAGGTACCACCAATTACATGTAGCTAGAACCAGCTTACAATATGAAACAAGCAACTGTTTTCCATCAGCAACATGACATTTTAGCCTCACAGATATCAGTATGCTAATGATAGGGTTGATTTAACCTACGTTAAAAATTGACTTCGAAAATCCTGATTTACTGCCCTGAAATCGATTTGTGCCTTTATGCAGAATGTGAGACTAAATTCATTATCCACTTCCTTCAAAGAAGTCAAACCTCTTAATAGGCAGCTTAGAAGTATAAGTTTTTCCAGACAGTAGTTGTCTTGTTCTCTATTATTGTATTGTACCATATAGTATAGGTGGACGTCCCAACTACTAAAGTACCTACTAGTACATGTAATACCAACCCAGAAGAGAACAAGAAATAGCCATGCCTTCAAGTACCAGAGTTATCAACGAAGGATTGAGGTGTTCAAGAAATTAATTCTTTCCTAGAACTATCACAGAGTGGAACTCTGGGGCATTGTCATTAGATAGCTTTAAACAATGTCTAGAGTTAGAAGTTCAAGGGTTAGGTGTAACAAGTCGATCGGTGTAATATAGCCAGCTGCCACCGCGCCGTGTGCCTGCGAAGCTGGTGTGTTACGCCGAAAGCCGGTTATACCGGCTATACAGATACAGATACATTATTGATATAGTATCTCTGACTCTGTAAAAGCAATTAGCCTTCGGGGATGATTTTGCAAATAAAGACAATTATGTAATTTAGCATTACTACTAAATATAAAAAGTAAATTGACGGTCACTGAGGGATAAAATTTTCCGGACATATTAAACATCTATTCCTTTAGTCATCAGGTACAAAGACAATTCATATCATGTACAATGAACTTTACGTTTAGGGACGACGCCTGGCGACCTGGTCGAAAGCTACAGTAAGGACCTTGCCCACAGAGCTTACTACTAGTATCATAATATGCATGAAAATCTCATTCGTCATTGAGATGAATTTGTACGGAAGATATCGAGAATTTTAAACATACGATATACCTTGAAATTCTCGATTACATTGCTCTGCTACGAACGGAAATAGATTTGATACCGTGACAAACCCCGTTACTCCAATGCTGACCTTGGTCAGAGCCACAGCAAACTTGACGTTTGTTTTTGCAGGCTTTGGCCCCCTGGTCCTGCCAGGGAACCGCTCTGTCTCTTCATACACTACAGCTTCACCGGACCAAACATGGATTGATGAAACCACAATTGGTATACGTTTAACATACTTTCCTCGAAGACAAACCTATATTGGGTCTCGCCAGCGACAGCGAAATTGGCGTATGAGGCCTTGGGGCGGGTTCTCCTCGTGGCTGCAGGGCCCTGCAGCTCTTCGCCGCCCGGTTCAGCTAAGTTCCCCGGCCCCGGTAGGTTTTGCACGACGGGCTTCGATTAGCCACCTATTTGTTCTGGCTTCCCATGCCTGTAGGCTCCAGGCACTTTCAGGCCCAACTTCCTGACTTGTCACCATGTTTTTGTGTCCTGTTCTGCCACAGTTCCTCTGAGACTGACACGAGGCCCTCCCACAGGCTGACTTGCCCCGCATTCCTCCGGTATTCCACATGGGAATAGGTTTTGGCGGGAAGCTTGGGGGTGTAGCTATGGGAGCAGATTGAAAACATTCGGTGTTTACAGTCACCGTCAATTCAAACCGCAGAGTTGACATGAGTTTCCACATATCTATGATCAGCGTAACTTGAATTGAAAAGGACTGATGGACTGTGATGATATTTGGTAGGCGGGTAGGTCTTGGGAAGACCAAGTCCTTAGGAAGACGAAGGTCAACGTCAAAAGACAAAAGTACTGCAGCAGAACTTCTTTTTTCTTGTATGATCTTGTATCTTATGTCCTGGACATGTCATTGTCATGATTTTTGCTGGCAAATAGCTTTTTATGATAATGTGTAATAATGTGGGGTTTGGTGTCCCTATCAGCTTGTTACGGAACTGCAGGAGAGTTTTTGGCGAAACGTTTTAAAGTAGATAAGTCAAGAACTCGGGAACGACGGATTTAAATGTACACAATGTGGTTATGCAAATTTTACTTAATTTGGTTTCGGTTTGGAACTAGGGTCAAGAAGTCTACTTCTAAAACCCTAATCCTCTACGCCACGAAACATCACGGTACGTACTGACGGAGCGTACGTTCTAATGCACCTAACGATTGCTAATCTGGGAATTGGCAACGACCGTGTACGTGGCGGAAACTGGCCCGACTACGTACTACTAATGCTGCTATCGGACGCCAAGCACGATCTATCAGCTAAAATTCGTTAGAACATGAACTTGAAATTCATCTCTTGAGTACATTCGTCCATCGTCTCATAATGTTTTGTGCTTGAAGATAAATACTTAACAAACACTTGGTAACAAAATGTATTGAACAACTTTGTCCTGATATTGTACATAGTGTATAACATGGTGATTAGGCCATCGAAATGTTAGATAGCTTTATGTAGCTTTCCTTTTTTTAACACGAAGATTATGCTTTGAGACGTCGACGTTGTTTTTATCACGAATATTACGCTTGTTAGGTATTAGTAAGTAACACAGATCGTCTCCGTATTTCAAATGTCTCCTTACCTTGTACAATTTGTATTATCAATCTACGTGTGAAAGTCTTAACGCATTTGAACGAGCATTGAAACTGTTCTTATTGTATATTGTCCTGTTACTAGGGCTAGCGCTAGTCCTTTTAATTAGCCTACGGCTAGTCCTAGCTGTTAATAAATCAAATTAAATGAAGGCTGGCAAACATACTTAGTCTAGTAGTGCTCGGATATGATAGTATACTATACTACTGACAACTGATGGGGTCATGATTCCAAGCCTGTATCGCTACAGGCGAGTAGTCAGAACAAGGGAAGTCCATAAGGAGGGTGATTTAGGTTAGTCAAGACGGCTGTATTGTAGTGTTCCGGTGCGGGCACCAAAAGGATCACGACATCGTTAGAAAACTTTCGAAACAAACGACTCAGGATCTAGGCGCGCTTATAAACGTCCACCGCTTCCAAAAAAGAAGTCAAACCCAAACAAGCTTAGATTGTATGCCGTAGCATTGCTTAGAGTTAGAATAGTTCACTTGTTCCACTTGTCACCATTGTTAGCTTGCACTGTCTCAAGACCCTTTCTAAGTATTGTTTCGTGTTGCTATTAGCCGTCAGGCATGAACTTACAAATAAACTATCATGACTATGTCTAACTCACCGGTACGATCATGGTCCACGCATTATCCTCTGGGTTCTCCGGACGAGAGTTTTCCATGTCACGACTGTATTTTCTCACCGTGCCGTGCAATTCCTCCCTCCCTCCCCTCCCCTCTAACACCGTGTTATTCCTGTCTCCAGGCGCGTGTGTAGAGACCAAACAACCGCCCGACAGGCTGCGGTCAGACGTGGTGACCCATTATGTGTTTAAAGCCTGTTGCTGGAGGGAAGGATTAGAATTCCCGTTTTCTTTCTAATCTCTGCTCATCACTGATATCCCATAGCAACACGGACCTCTGGATTAAAGTTTAGACTGTACTTTATATTCTAATGAAAGATCTGTCCTTTTTAATCATATCAAAGAGAAGTTCCCATACTTTGAACACCTAAATACAAACGATAAATTTATATTTTTTATGCGTCTAGACAAACTGTATCAGAAACATGATCTGTTCCCACATTTTCCGTTGTACAAAAAAGCGAGAAGTTGACCACTCTGTATTAGCTCAGTTACTAGAACACTTTGTATTAGCCTAGTATAGTACCCTTGTATGCTCCTTATGTATGTATGTGTAAAAAGTCAAGTACTGTATCTTTTGTCTCTACTTTTCTACATACGTTTGTTATGTGTCTGTGAAGTCTTGACCTGTACCTAGCCCGTCGTGGCATGAATGTACAATAAAGGTATTTCATTTCATTATTTTTGTTAACACACGAACACAGCCATGGCCACCTGCTTCAATAATGCTGTCTCACATTTCAGAACCTCCTCACGAACACCAGCCGACCAAGGTTGGTTGGCGTTCGAAAGCAGTCTGAACAGATTTAGGCCACGATGATCCACGATTACCTTTTCATACGAATCGAAACGAATTTGAGCCCAATTATGACTGCCAACCACGCCCCGACCTACTCCCAAACACCAGCCAACCACAAGCCAACCATAACCAAACCTCCCGTCCACACTTCAATGTTCTAAACATTTTGAAATATTCGACTAGGCCAAACGCAGTCAACCGTTGCTCCCGACCTAGCTACTCCTAACCATGGTTGGGAGGAGTTCGGCAGTGTTCGCGAAGCCATAGTCGGCTATGTGTGACAGCGACTTTACTTACCCTCCAAGCAGAGGTTGTGGGGGAATGATCGCTACCTTTTTACATATGGCCTTTTTTTTGTCGCTACCCCCACCCGTCGGTGGCTGGGCGACCTTCTCTGGCTAATGGATACTGCCTGGACAATTTGAAACTGTCTTTTTGCCACCGAAAGGGATCTGCTTGGACTCGGAGATTAGACTTTACTGACCAGACGTCAGACGAGTCGGACACACAACTCGGACCATGGCTGATCATCAGGACAAGTCCGACCAACACTGAGGTCGAGACCTAACCCTAACTCTAACCTTAACAGTTGTCAATGGCGTTGGTCCGAGTTTAAGCATGGAGGTAGTTTTTAAGTACTAGTAATTAACACTTATTCAAAGACAATTCAAACTCTCATTATCATCGGTGTTGGCTCATAGGCCAAATATTCGTGTCCGAGTCAGAAATCCTCAGTCCAGGGAATGCCGGTGTCGTATTTGGCTGCTCAGGCCCAGAGCGGAGTAGAAGCGTCGAGAACACTTTGTACAAGGGAGGTTACTACTGGATGAATTACGGAGAATTACTTAAGGATGTACGTTTCGAGTGACATCAGTTTGAATTGCCTCTGAATACTGTTTACCTGGATGTGTAACCAACACTCACCTTGCCAGCTCTCTTCATGAGCGAGACGACAGGTGAGACCGCCTTCAGCATGTTCTGCCAGCGGGCGTTCAGAGCGTGGCGACTGTCCGCAGAAAGCCCGCTGGCCCGGCTGGAGGACCGGTGACCGTTCTGTCGGCTGGCGGGTCCCGGGCACAGGCTCAGCCGGCTCACATGGTGCGGCACGTCGGTAGAAGGGACCGGCAGGGGCGGGAGTGTGTCCACTCCCTGCAGTCTGGTCGCCATGTCACCTCACAAGATTCCTTGACGAGTCAGTATTTCCTAACTTGGGGCGACTTGGTAGTAAATAGTTGTGGCAAGTTGCGAATTGACTTTATACCTCAAAAGTTGTAGTCTGATGCTTCTGCTATGCTCAACAACCATGCATCCGCTTGATATACTAGCATTTATATATTCACTAGCTTCGAATGATTGTCAAAAGGTACAAAAGTTGTCTTGCCCGGCAAGAGTTGACAGCTCCACTGCTCGCTGTAGACTCACCTCCCCGCCTCCATGTACAAACACTTACAGTGTCTATACAAGACGGCCTAGGTCAGCGTTCTAGCCGCCAGTCCTGAGAAGTAGACCAGTGACTGTGAGGACGGCTCCATTTTCTGTCAACAGCTACTTCAGCCGGGTGTTAGTGACAAAACCCGGGGCGACGTATTTCTGATCAAGAGTACAAAATTCTCATCGCGTTGGACAAGTAAATTCCAGTAACACGGAGTTTGCTGAAGGGGAGTGGCTGTCGCTTATGTCCACCCCTCAACAGTCCAGCAGCTCGGTAAAAATAACAGCAACACAATAAAAAAAAACTCCATCCATGCACACAAATGGTTTCAGTGGAAGCACCAACAAAAATAAACACAAAACTCACTCGACCTGTCTGTCCGGTTTGATGGTTCGGTTCCCCGCATGTTGTCATCATGTAGCGTTAAGACAAGGCTTACTTCAATGTGTGAATCTTTGAAGATTTTTTATTGAAGCAAAGGATTTGCCAATTTTGTACTTTGGATAATATTGAGGATGAATGCCATTTTGTAGTTGATTGTACTTTACCGGTATATAGAAATGAGAGGGATTCCCTCTATACGTGTATAATAGATAAGTTCCCAAGCTTTAGACATTTAGACAAAATAGAAAAATTCGCATTCCTTATGAAACCTGACAAACAACCTACATTGTATCATTAGCCCAATATGTTCTTACATCTACAACTGCCTAAAGAAGCGAGGAGAAGTTAAACTTGTAAATAGTAGACCACATTAGTATGTATAGTTTAAGTGTTATTGCTGTATCCTTTTTCCTGCTTATTCATGACCTGTACTTTGCTTGTTAGAGCACAAACGTACAAAATGTACAATAAAGGTCTTTCATTCATAAGCTTCATTCATTCATCATTGTACCACAAAAGTATTTATCCAACACTCCTCTGAACAGAAGTGCAGTATACTTACAAAATTGATTAAAAAGGACCAGAAATTAATTAATGGCACTCAATGCAGGGAGGCAAAAGAAAAAAAAATATTCTGGATGAGGACATATGTAATATTGACATTTACTGCCATTTCTTAGACCATTTTCGTCATCATTTCATCCTCGAAGTGTTTGAAATAGCCCCAAATAAAGCAGCTACATGTAGGTGAGAAGTACTAGTCCCTTAATTTTTTTGGGCAGCACCAATAAATAGCTAAAACCTATGATACGAAACAAGCAACCGTTTTTAGTCAGCAACATTGCACTTTATCTGAAATTTACAGACAATAATATCTGTTGGATTACTTGGATATCTTCATGAATTAGTACGCCATTTTTCTTGGAAATCCTCTCAAAAATGCACGAAATGCCATTTTAGAAGGTTCATTTTTCAAAATTTTCCGGGGGAACATGCCCCCGGACCCCCCTAGGAACCCCCCCATTCAAAATGCTGGCTATGGGCATGACAGAGGTGACCAAAGTGACATCTAGAGGGAGCATAAGTAATACCGAAAATACGCAACTGATCTTTCAGGACAGCTATAGTATTGTAGGAGAATAGAAATGCAACAAGAAACAATCCACACGGTTCTGTTTTGTTGGAGTAAGACATGAGGCTGCCTTGTTCTGTCCTGTTTTATTTGAATAAAGATTCTGTCAAGTAACTGTTTCATTGTGGAAGTTCAAAAGAACAGCTAATTTGTTGAATTGTTCTTGTACAGGTATACAGGTCCCAACCTATACTTAACAAAATCTGGACCAGTCCTGTACCCTGATGTTACATTACGTACGTAGCCCTAGTTTGGAATATAAACATGGTGCAGTCTTTCTTGTCCACAAGATTGTTGATGAGTGATGTACATGTAGATTTCGATTTCAATTTCTTTGATTTGACATAAATCAGAGATGTTTGGAATTGGATTTTATTAAACATTATTAGTAATATTACTCTTATGACTGGCAAATATAAATAATATTAGAAAGTTGAAGGGAGAAATGACTCACTCTGCCTGGTATTAACACTATTAACACTTTTTTTTTCTAATTTTGTTGTGATAGTCTTATTTGATGTTCGGACATACTGTTTGATATTATATCTTGGAAAATAATATTTAAATGTTCTATTCGTAAATAAGTCTCAATTTCAATTTAATGTCTTGACAAAATTCAGCCATTTTGGCTGGCGTGTTTGAGACAATTTTAGGTGTATTTTGAAATAAACCATTCATAAAAATACTATATTATATATGTTTACTCTCATTATCCCCTAGCCTCTACCAGACTCCTTTGCAGGCTGAATAAATAGTAGAAATTGGCAAAGGGGGGAGTCATTGGCCAGAGGAGTTGG